TTTTTATGTACAATAAAATAACATTTATTGCAAAAAATGATAGTTTTGTTGTTATTAACAGTTCCTTATAGATAACATATGCTGATTAAACATGTTAATTCTGCATTTTCGCTGTGGAAACTTGTGTAATTATATAAGATACCTCTCATTTAACAAACAAATCTGTTTAAAATTATAGTACAAAAACTCATTTTCTCATAAAAGTCACTAATTGTGTTGAATTTTAAAATATATTTACAGTATTAAGCTTCATTTTAAGAATTTTATCTCTTAAATACAAAAAGAAAATTGTAAAATAAAAGTTGGAAATGTTTATGTAAAATAAAATAACATTTATTTAAAAACAATATTTATTTAATTGTTATTCACAGTTCCATATAGATAATATATGCCGATTAAAACATGTTAATTCCACATTTTCGCTGTGAAAACTCAAGTAATTATATGATATCTCTCATTTAACAAACAAATCTGTGTGAAATGACAGTACCAATACTCACACTCTCATAAAAGTCACCAATTAAGTCTAATTTAAACATATTTTTACAATAATAAACTTGAAAGGAACAGTTTTATCTGTTGAATAAAATGGAAACAATTGTTAGCTTATGCTAAATTTGCGAATTTGTGTGTCCCAAAAATGTCTAATTTCTTTAATATTAATATTATTTGACATTACACATGTAAATTTGTCTGTTTCTGTTGATTCAAACATATAGAAAAAAATCTGTAAAATTAAAAAAAAAAACACAGATTTCTTTTGTTTTACAGTGTAGTGTAGGATTGAGAGAGAATATTTCAGATTCACAAGCTGACAGATGAGAGAAAAAAGGACCAAACTACATGTCTGTCTGCTACTTCAGCACCTCGGACAGCGCAGCGGATTTCTCCACAGACGACACAGATGAAACTGGCTGTAACTGTCCATGCAAGTGAGCCTGTGTGAGGAAAAAAAAAAACAAAAGCCGAGCAGAACTACAGCAGAACACATGGGCATGAATGCTCGGTGCTTCCTCTCGCGTTTGCACTCTGCCAGCTTATTGTTCTCCCTTAAAACAGGTCCCACTGCAGGCAAACCTGTAGCTATATTTAGAGCCAAACAAAAAAATATCGCGCGCGGAAAACATTCTCAGCGAGCACACGGGGCAAGACATATATTCCTTTCTTTAAAGCGAATACTTTTGTCTTCAAAGGTGATGTCATGTCCCGAACAGCGGGGGAGCGATATTACGGCTGCTCTCCAACATGCCAGTCGAGCTATGTGCTGTGAAGCTCAATGCGTCTGTCAAAGCCTCGATCAATATTCCTTTAGATGTGTTAAGGAGTGCTCCGGCTGAGGCAACTATGGATGAGTCAGAGTTGATTCATATCCACGAGGGCCTCAGAAGGAGGGATGATGTATTCTTAGGTAGCATGTGAGGGGCCATGCTAATGGGCTGATTGCTCCTTTATTTAAAAAGGGAGTGTAATTCTGTTGTAATGAGCAATTTCTGTAATCAGCAGTCAATGCTGATAAAGCCCCGCATTCAGGCGTGTTTATCCCTGAATCGATGACAGGGAAAAAGAGACAGAGCAAACGCAATCAGCTTCCATTCTCCAAAGCCAATACTCCTGCAGGGAAGCTGTCTTCAGCTAGAATTTCATCTGTTGTCTGCTCTGTAGGCAGAGTGTGCATGCATTCCTGTATTTGTGTGTGTGTGTGTGTGTGTGTGTGTGTGTGTTCCTACAGTGCCAGTGGCTACTGTCAGCTCAGTGCCTCATGCACATCGTTTCATGTGCCTGCCGCTGGCTAAAACAAAGCATTAACATTGGCCTGCAGTTGCTTCAATTCATTTTCAAAGAACAATGACAGAGGAGGAACAGTCTTATTTAATGTTTATTTCATGATGCATAGTGTGGGCGTTCAGAAGTGGGAAGCGGCTTGGCTTGGTTGAGAGATTGCCTGTGTTTGAGGACGGAGTGTGTACACGGCTAAGTGCATGTCTGTAACGCTTGTGCATGTGAGTGTATGTCTTGGCATGACAACAGATAGCTGTAGGAGAATGAGCTATCAGCAGAACCTTCAGCTTGTTAGTCCGGAGTGGAGGTTGTCTATGGAAATGGATGTGAAAGCAGAACTCAGGAGAAAACCGGCTGCCGGGGATTTTCCTAATGGTCCATTGGCCTCATCTTGTCCAAACCAGAATAATAGAATCATGCTTGAGCTGTGACTAATAGCTTCATGTTTTATTTGGTACAGAATATTTATTTCTTCTTTTGAAGGAAGTAAAAAAAACTAAAAAAAAATCGAGGAATAAAGTGAATTATAGAAACACTCTTGTGTACCAGATACATACAAATTAACTGCTCTAAATTTTGGACCAGAGAAAAAAGGGAATCTTCTTGTATCATAAATGTGGGGCTCAGAGATCTGGTAATGCTTAAATAATGTACAAATAAATGATGACTTTTCCCCCTCTACTGTTTTCAATCTGGTTCCTTTGGTTGTTGTTTGTTGTATTTATTCATTTTATTCACTTTATGTTTCGTGAAACATTAACACAAAGGTTCTGTTTGGGGTCCCAGAGACCTATTTAACAGCTCAAAAAAACAATGTAGTTAACATTGTTTTATCACCTTGGTGAGTTTGGTTTTGCTGTTAATAGCCTGCCGCTAAAGCAGAGGCAGCATCAGTAAAACGTGCTTAAATAAAATTCTGATGTTGATTTGCAATATTAGAGTTTTAGAGCATTTGTTGATAAGGCTTCGAACCACTAGTGAGATCAGTGAGACCTCCACGAGGGCACATGTAGCATCACTATCTACTACAGGATAACATATTGTACAATTCTTTGATTGTGAATAACTTTTAAGCAAGCAAAAGGTATATATATATATGTTTATATACTGCCCATAGGCTGCAGGGTGGCGCAGTTGGTAGCACTGTTGCCTCGCAGCAAGAAGGTTGCCGGTTCGTGTCCCGGTGGGGGCACCGGAATCTTTCTTGGAGTTTGTATGTTCTCCCCGTGCAACGTGGGTTCTCTCCGGGTTCTCCGGCTTCCTCCCACAAGGTCCAAAAACATGTTGAGGTTAATTGGTGATTCTAAATTGTCTGTAGGTGTGAATGTGAGTGTGCTTGGTTGTCTGTCTCTAAGTGTAGCCCTGTGATAGACTGGCGACCTGTCCAGGGTGTCTCCTGCCTTCACCCTAAATCGGCTGGGATAGACTCCAGCCCCCCACGACCCTAGTGAGGATTAAGCGGTGTATAGATAATGGATGGATGGATACTGCCTATACAACTGATGAAACATGAAGCATTCCCTTGTTTAGCGCATGCTCAGTCTGCAAAGGCATGTAGTATATTTATCAGGAAGTAGAAAAGTAAGAAAGTAAAGTAGAAACTAAATGCAACAAAAGTGAATTCATGATTGTACACCTGTGATTGTCTGCATCATGGCTCCACATCAAAAAAGAGTTGCCAAATAATCAGATTGTGAGACTTCACAAAGATGTAAAATGATTCGGGGACCAACTGAAAATCAGCTGCAGCAGTAATCAGGAGGTACAGAAGCAGCCGTAGTGCCACTAATCAGTCACTAATCTGCAGTCCTCCCAAAGCAAACAGCTTAACAGACAAGTACTTCAGACTTAACAAGGGGTTACCAACAGAGAAAGCTCAGAGTAAAGAGCAGTAACCTCTAATAACTACCTCGCATGCTCTTTGGCAGAAACCTACAAGACCAAACTTTGCTAAGCAACACACAAAAAAGAAGCCTGATGAATGTTGGGAGCACATTCTTTGGTCAGATGATACAAATGAGAAGATAAATTTGTTCAGTTCAGATGGAGTCCAGCATGTTTGGTGTGAACCTGACCAGGACCACCACAGTGGATGTATAGTCCTGACAGTGAAGCACGGAGGTGGCAGTATCATGATATGGGGCTGCATGAGCACAAAACGTGTTGTAGAGATGATATTTCTAGATGAATGTCTGTGGATAAACCAAAATACTGGCTGACTAGACGACTCCCAGCCTGAATCCAAAGCACAAACTCACAAGAGTTTCTAAGGACAAAAAAACCCCCAAAACAACTCTGACCCGGACAAGTGTCGCCTGGCTTGAATCGAAAAGAACATCTTTGGGGAATTTCAAAGGGAAAGGCAGAGCAACACAACCTCTCCAACAAAGAGCAGCTGAAAAAGTAGCCTTTGAAGAATAACAGGACGTCTCTTTAGAAATTTGGTGTTGGAGGATTGAGTCTGTCATCAAACATAACATGAAATAAAAATTTTAAAAAAGGTTTATATCTCATTATTGAAAGGTGGACTGGCTTTTGTTGCACTGAGTTCCTATTGTAAGTCCTGTATGTTTAATATTGTATATCTAAATTGTTAGTTTTTCATTTTCCATAAGAGCAAACACCTACTGTCAGGGTGACACAATTAAGCATGTGCAAACGTCTGGTGCATACTGTGCACTTTTCCACATTCTGGGCTTTACTAATGACACAAAAAAAGTAAATATGTTTAACGTTGTTCACATTTTTAAACATTTAATGCTTACCACTGTATTAAACACAGCAGAATCTCATTTTCATAAAGTCTATGCTACTTATCATTAGCTGCTACAGCGTCGGTGACTTCGTTTTTGATCAATAAATCCGATTTAGCAGTGTCTTAAATAGATCAGCGTGTCAGAACGGAGCTCTAAACGATCAACGCAGTGCTATGCGTGCGTATATACTATATGTGTCAGCTTGGAGTCGAGGCGTTCCACCTCAGTGTGTGTGCTTGTAGGCGATGATTCGGTTGTCACACTCCTACTGTTACCTGCTGGGAAACTGTACCCATTGGGCAGATTGACATGGAAATGCGAAGTAGCGTTCCATCAACACGCGTAATACAAACACAGTCAAATTCTACCACAAGCGATTATTAAAAAAATATAAAATAAAAAAAATAAAGAAGTGCCCGCTTGCGTGTCTGCTTCGACGTATGGCGGCGCGCGTAGCTCGTGTACCTGCTTGTGTGCGTGGTCGTAGGAGTTGATGTGGTTGTCAAACTCCTGGTGTCTGAGGTACTGCTTGTCACACAGCTCACAGTAGAAAAGAGCCTTCAGATCCTCCACTGAGCAGCCCAAAGCCCTCTCCGCGCATTCCTGGAGAAAGAGAGAGAGATGGAAAGAATTGAGTAAGCGCGTTGGAGGGATTGCAAAAGAGAAATGAGAGAGAGTGGAGATAGAGGCACAAACAGACAGAGACATAAAGGGGTTGGAGGGCCGGAGATAGAGAGCGAGGGGAGGAGGAGGAGGAGGACGGGGGGAGCAGAGAACGGCAGATTGTTAGCCATTTAGAGCAAATCTGCATCCCGGAGACATCAGCAATAATAGCCTCTACATGTGCTCTGCATAAAAACTGTTAAACGGCTTCCCATTAAGGTACGTTGCCTTTGCTGCCGCTGCTGCTGCTGCTGCTGCTGCTGGAGGTTGGACAAAGCCACTGAAGCCCTGTGCTCATGGCAACTTGAGCCTGGGGACACATTTAATACAGCCGCTATAATAGAAACCTGCTTATGTGCTGTAATGGCAAATAGTCTGACTGCAGAGAAAGCGGAGGTTGACAGACAGAAACACCGAGCGTCTAAAAATGCACTACTTTTGCACGCCGGCGAGGAAGAAAGTTGCGCACAAAACGCACACGTATGAATAGCGCACGGACGGACGGACACATGTGCAAACGGTGCACGCACCTGAGGGGATAAAACGCTTGTCTGCATGCTCACATCAGCCACCAGGCTTCTTTTTTTTTTTTTTCTTTTGGTCTGGAGACATGCACGGTGTTGTGTACAATAGATGTGTGCGCTCGCTTGTGTATGTGTGTGTTGAGGAGAGTGTGTGTGTGTGTGTGTGTGCATTCATGCCATGCTCTGCTTCAGAATGTAATTTCCCTCAGGCTAGGGGCTGCCAATAAACACTATTGAATTCTGTTCTACACTGACATGATGGGAATTTAATTTGAGGTTGTCACTTCTTTCTCTCTTTCCCTCCTTCTCTGCTTCTTTCCCTCCCTCCGTCCTCATCCTCCTCTTCTTCCTCTCCTCCTCCTCCTCCCTCTCTTTGCTGGTGCTGTCCTTGTCTTTCCTTTTTTTTAACGCTCCTCCTTCAATTCACTCCTTTTTCTCCTATACTTCATCTCCTCCCCCCTCCACCTCCCAACCTCACCATTTATCCCCTCTATTTGCCTTTTTTCTCTCTTTCCGGCGTGCTCCTTTTTTTCTGTTTGGTGAGTCCCGGGTCATGCAGTGACAGAGTCTATTGGCCCCAATTTGCTTCAGTAATATGCCTCCACACAGGAACAGAGGTGAGAGAAAAAAGAGAGGGAGGATACGAATGCAGGCAGGAGGAGGACTGACCCCTGGCTGCTCTGGCAGACACACATCCAGGCCCACACAAACACCTCAGCAGTAATATAAGCACTGGAACAATCATCATTAACCATCAGGAGCTATGTGCTAACGCTACATCCAGGCGGTTTTTTAACTCGAACACATTCACACAGTTTCATCCGCAGGTAGGCGGCTTGTTGTCCGAATCGGTTCAGCGTCGACGGCGCAATGAGACATCGAGCTGCAACTTTCTCATTTTCCGTGACTAATCTACAAGAGAAGTCTGTCCGATAGAACGTAATTTACTCTGATTTAATGCTATTTGGATACGCTGAGTTTTTAAAAAAATAAATGCATCCACAAGACATGAAGTTTGTTGGCATGCAGGCTCCACGTCTGAGCAGCAAAAAAAGGAAGATTTTGGTTGCAAAGACAAATGCAATGTATAGAAACAGATCAGGAGGTAACACAACTAATTTGTTCGAGCGTTTACATCAGCGCCACAAAGCTCTGTGTGACGAGTGCAAAGCCAGTTTTGGGAAGGAAAATGCTATTTTGGCAGCCTTTAGCAACATTACACAACATAAGAAAGGTTCCGATTTGCCTTTTTGTACCTTTTTAAAAACATTTTAAAAAACTTTCAATGCAGATTCACCCCCTAACAAAATCACCTCAATGATTCTGGAAGGAGAAATTCATTAAATAGGGTCATCTGGTGAATATTCTTGCGTTTTTCTACTTTGCAGTGCCATTTATTTTTTTTTTTTTTCCCCCCAATATCACGTAGCCTTGTTTTATTTAAAGAACAGGGATCTATCAAAGTGTGATCTTCACCCTACATGCTCTTGGGAATGTATCACAGCCCAAACAAAGGCCGTTTCTGAGGAGTTGTTGACGCTGGAAAAGGTCACGAAACCGTCTCCAAAGTTACCGAAAGTGTGCACAAATGGAAAAAAAAAAAAAAAAAAAATTCGAGACCAAGCGGTCGGCCAACAAAGAGCCGTGCTGCGAGGTCGCCGGGAACCCAAGGTGATTTCTGAGTAACTAAAGATTAACGTTGATGTTTGTGAGTCCACCATCAGGCTCAACAACAAGGCTGGAGGTGTCAGAGCTGCAAGGACAAAACCACTGCTCTCCCAAAAGAGCCCTGCTGCAGTTTACTTACAGATTATGCGGGCAAAGGCTGTATAAAGTGGAAGGATGACGGTAAAGTCTGGTTTAAATGAAAGCTGCTGCATTTGGAGGAAGGAAAACGTTATTTTTCAGCAGATGAACCTTCGCCCATCTGTGGTGGCGACGATGGTAGGACCACGGCTTGGAGTGGCTTTGCTGCATGTGGGCCGGGACGACTTGGCATTATCGACAGAACAATGAATTCTGAATTGTATGAGCCTATCCGAATGGAAAATGTCAGGAAATCTGAGCGGAGATTGTTGTTTGGCACTGCTAAGCTCTGCGCGATGACATCTGAATGTCATCCAAAGCAAAACACGACACGAGAAAGGTTCCAAAACTTCTTTTTTTATTCGAAAGTTATTTTCTATTTTCTACGCAAATGCATGGCTATGAAGCCACTCCAAACACTGTAGAATGGTTCATTCTTCCCAAATCGAGGAAATTCCTGCATTTTTTTAGTATCGCAAAAAACATTTAGCCGTTTCCAATAATGTGCAGCACTGATGAAGAGGAGGGGGGGAGGCTGAAGGAAACTCTGACAGGACTCTCCTGTAGTAAAATCAACAGAGAGGTAACTAATATACATCGATCCTGTGACCCTCCATATGTGTGTGTGTGTGTGTGCTGCGGTATTGATCTGCCTCGCGGGCTGAAGTCACTACCAGGAAATGATCCAATCACCCTGAGCGGCCTTCGTTTGAGCGCCGCTGATGGGATTGAGATAATGAATGCTGCGAATTTGTCAACTTTACAGCTTACGTAAGATTACATAGGAAGCGCGTGAGTGCAGGTGTTTGTCTGTGTGCACGTGTTTTTTTTTTTTCTCCGATGCCCTCTCGTCTTTCTTCACACCTCCCTGCGCTCTGTCAGGATAATTACTTTTAACAATGAAAAATACATGCAGAAAGAGGCATGTGAGGAGGAGTGTGAATGCATCAAAGCATAAATTGTGGATGTATGCGTGAACTCCGGAGCCATTTGTTTCTGTCGGAAGCATCCTGACAAGCGATTTGCCCGTTTTTCTGTTGAATAATAAAATCAAACACGAGTGCTTCCATTTGCTTCCGATGTACACACCTTATATCATTCCTACTTACCCCTATGCACCAGCATGCACAGACACACTCCTTCCTCCACACACACTTATGCATGCACAGTCACACACACACTCTGTCAGCCTGATATACCAGTGCCAAATTAATCTAGACCTCAATTTACCTCACTAGCATAAATCTGTTTGCAGAATAAGCGCAATTGATATATCTGCAGACCTGAATGGACAGTGATTGTTTGCGTGATTATGTGTGTGAGTGTTTGTGCGTCGCGGCGGATGCGAATGTTTTCCTTTTCGCTTATCTTCAGTTCGTCGGAGAAGAGCCATTTTATTCCCTCTTCATTGCTGAAATTGTGCCACAAAATAGGAGTCGTTATGGACCGTAACCGGAGTTTCAGACACACACGCATGTAATTTAATGTCTTGAGCCGCTGTGGAAATGAACAGGTCACGCCTAAAGTGTTTCCCAGACGTGGTCCGTCAGCAATCGGAGAATGTGTGCAGTGGAAACTAATGATGCACAATATATTCATGAAAAACTCTTCAGAAACTTTAAAAAAAAAAAAAAAAGTCCCTGGAGGAGCTTCTGAGAGTTGTACAGATTCTCAACCTTTCTGATGCAATCACACTGTCACTGCTGTTTGCTTTTTTACTCTTGATGACAGATCAAATCAGAAGCTTCATCCTCATCATGTGAGCACGGACGACTTAAGCAGATTTCAAATAACCACAACCAAAGGGTTTTTCGGAGTTCTTCATCTCATGATTGACCTTCAAGACTGCTGATCTGCACAGAAAATCCCATTAGATAATATGCTTATCGCTGTCATAACTCAACTCCTACTAACATCTTGACACTGATTAAGAGTCAGGTGGAACCATGTCAAGGATACGGAGTGGCTGCGTGTTCCTTTGAGAACAAGTTCGCATCGGGGAGTATTTCATTCACTTGATTGCCGGCCGTCGAGCCATTTCTCTTCTCGGTTATATATAGTTCACTCTCAATCTACAGAATAACTTGCTCCCTCTTCAAAGAAATACAAAATAGGGAAGTCATGATACAAGAAACTCGGTAGCTGCTGCCAACAGGATTGAAACTCCGCGATTCTCGAAAAATAAACCGCTAAAATGTATTTCAAAGAACATTGTGCAAACATGTTGGCATAGCACTGCACCGATATGGAAACACAATGCAAATAATAAACACAATAGGTGAATTTACAGTGCAAAAGTCTCAAGAATGCAGCCCTCAAGTCTATAAAACAAACAAAACTGCGCTATGCAAATAACTTTCCTCACGAGGACTTTCATGTTGCCGTATTTTCTGTGCCTCTAAAAAGCTTCAGATGTAGTCGATTCAGTGTGTGTGGGTCCATTTTGTGCCTGTTTCTCCTGTTCGACATCCACCTCATGCTGATGTTGTGAAAAGACCATTAGGGAAACCACAGAGGCTGCTGCTGCACACACACACACACACACACACACACACACTGCTGCATACTGCTGGTAGCCTACTAATGTTAGCAGCAGCTTTAAGATTAGGC